GCCACCTTAGGTGTATGTGGCTGGCGCCTTAGCCACTTGAGCCACAGGCGCCAAGCCTGGAAGACAGCATTTTCAATCGACCTCTTGTTCCCTTCCACATTGATCCACCTGTTCTTCCACCCCTGTAACCAAATGAAGCCAGCTTGCTGTACTAGCTGCCTACAATGTTACTGCAACTCTCTCTTATCCCTCTGATTCAACACTCCCCACACCCCAAGGATAGAGCCTCAGGGGCACTAATGCCACTACTCCCTCTGCATACAAACATTCCCCTGCATATAGACACAATCCTACATGCGTTCTGTTGCTAAATGTTCATTATGCTGGGCTCTATGCTACACTGGTGGACCACACTCCTTGCTGTCCCTGCTGTCCCTGCTGGGTAGGGCTGGGGTGGGCAGAGTGGAGGGAGATAAGCTTGTTGTAGAGAGATAAATCCAGTGGGCTATTTATGGGACCAGTGGTAATCAGTGCATCAATGGTTACATTCCTAGCCAATCAGCACATTCCATCCCTCTGGCCACAGGGACTGGTTGTGAATGGACATGTGACAAAAATTAGGCCAATGAGATTCAAGCTTGGGGCTTTCTGTTGACTCAGGGAACTTATGCATGTGCTATTGGGAATATCTTAGCACTACACAGAGAAGCCTGCTGGTAGAGTCAAGAGAGGGAGAGAATCCATTTGGAGGACAATATTTGAGCTGGATCCAGCTGTGCCTGAAGGATACATCCCTCCAGCTTTTCAATTCATGAGCCAATAAATGCCCTTGTTTGTATTAGCTAGTTTGGTTTGGGTTTTCAGTCCCCTGGACTGAAAGAAGTCTGTCATGTACTGAAGCATTTTGCTGTTTCCCTGTGGCTAGGACTGATGCAGTAGTTTAGTTTCCCCAGGACTAGCCCCATTACTCTGCCAGAGAGACTGAGGGACTTCTACCCAATGTCCTATCTAGTGGTCACTGGTCCCACAAGGAGAACTTGGGATAGAGCCTGCTGTTCTCTCTGGCCTAAGAAAAACCTGTCTCTTGTCACAGGTGAGAAGGGGGGACCTTCAGAAGTTCATACAGTTCTGGGAAATATGAGCATATAATCACCTCTCTAAGTCTGTGTTTCCTCCTTGGGAAGGGTGGGTTAGTACCAATATCCTCTCTCCCTCATTCTCCCCACATCGTCTTCCTGCCCTCCCATGTACCTTCCGTCATTTCTGTATGGTTTAACCCCATAGCCCACTGTGGCAGGTGCTGTTGGGGACTTACCATTCCCCCTCTGGCCTCACCACTAGGTGCAGGGACACACTTGGCCTATTTCCTACATCACTCTGGGGTTGGGCCATGCTCTATGTGAGTCCTTAGGGCCCCAAAGCACCAAGGAATTAAAATTCCTCAGAGGCAACTCTCAACAAGTGACTCGTGGGTAGGAAGAATTCAGAAGATAAATATCCCAGCTCCCTCACCCTCAAGTAGAGGGACTCTGAGGTTCACATCCTCCTCAGTCTCTTAGTGTTTCCTAGCAGAACTGAGCCCCAACCATTGCTATTTGCCCAGGACTAAAGGTTGCCTGGGATGTAGATTTTGAAGTCTAAAACAGAAAAGTTCCAGACAAGTTGATTACTCTGTTGATAACTCTTTCTTCCTTTCTTTCCTCCCATCCTCTTTTCCCTCTCTTCCCTCCCCTCTGTCCCTTCCTTCCTTCCTCCCTCAGTCTCTTTCTTTTTTGAGACAAGGTCTCATTCTGTTGTCCAGGCTGGAGTGGAGTGGTGCAATCACAGCTCACGTCATGCGCCACCACGCCCAGCTAGTTCTTCTATTTTTTGTAGTGATGGGGCCTCGCTCTTGCCCAGGCTGGCCTTGAACTCCCAGCTTCAAGTGATTCTCTCACGTCATCCTTCTGAGTAGCTGGGACCACAGGCATGCATCACCAAACCCAACTAATTTTTAAATTTTTTTTTTTGTCGCCCTCGGTAGAGTGCTGTGTCATCACAGCTCACAGCAACCTCTAACTCCTGGGCTTAAGCAATTCTCTTGCCTCAGCCTCCCAAGTAGCTGGGACTACAGGTGCCTGCCACAACACCCAGCTTTTTTTTTTTGATTGTAGTTGTCATTGTTGTTTGGCAGGCCCAGGCTGGGTTCATACCTGCCAGCTCTGGTGTATGTGGCTGGTGCCCTAGATGCTGAGCTACAGGCGCTGAGCCTACTCACTATTTCTTTTCTTTTCTTCCTTTTTTTTTTTCTGGAGCCAGAGCCTCAAGCTGTCGCCCTGGGTAGAGTGCTGTGGCATCATAGCTCACAGCAACCTCCAACTCCTGGGCTCAAGAGATTCTCCTGCCTCCGCCTCCCTAGTAGCTGGGATTATAGGTGCCTGCCACAACGACCAGCTAATTTTGGTTGCAGCCGTCATTGTTGTTTGGCGGGGCCTGGGCTGGATTCAAACCTGCCAGCTCAGGTGTATGTGGCTGGCGCCTTAGCCTCTTGAGCCACAGGCACTGAGCCTACTCACTGTCTTTTTTTTTTT